TTGACAGAGGGCAAACAACGCCGCCGCTAACTCAAGATGCTACAGTTATACCCAAATACATTCAACCACACAGACTGTGAGCTTCATCCACACAAGAAAGTGTGCACAGCCCAAACTCCTGCAAGAATTAATTTCATCAGTATTGATTTATTCCCAGGAATATTTTAATACCAAACTTAACAAAAATACTATTTCAATTTGAAGGAGATAAAAATCAGCAGTTATAGTAAAGACATAGATTTATTTTTTTCATTAACTTATCCTTATTTGCCATGAGACTGGTTTCCATAGAAATGCAAGCAGACCAAAAACCTGCAAGCAGAAGTGAGTCAGTTTTGCCTGTTTGCATGTCTCTCTGGTTCCCATAGAAACAGACATTAAGAAAAAGCATAAAAAGGATAAAGGTCCTAAAATTCCTTTAAGGGAAAAAAAAAAAAAAAACCCACAACACACACACGTTCTCATAGCTTTATCTCTCTTATCTGTCTTTCCAAAACTAGAGTTGGAAATATCCCTGTGCAAGAGATGAAAAGAGATTAAAGAGTAGTGACTTCCTCAAGCACCCAGCAGAAACTGTTACCAGAACTACGTTCAAACTCAGAAGCTCGCTGTCTATATTTACAAATATAGTTACAAATCATATTAAATTCTGGAAAAAGTATCCATATATATACTTTGTAATAATTCTATGCTAATACACACAGAAATACAACAGAGAGCAGGAAAAGAGTCTCACATGCTGCCCTTGTGTCAGGTATGTTCCAATAGCTTCAGAAGTCAAACCAGTAGAAAAATTGCTAGCTTGGGAGAATGAGTCCAATATTTTCATAACTAGGACATTTTTAATAGAAGCATTACTCTTTACCACCCACTCATTTCCTAAATTGCAAAATCAGCTCTACATGCACACGAGCTTAAGTAACAAGCATCAGTGTGGAGTTTTAACATGACTATACTCTGTCCTTTACAGTTCTGGGTAAAGTGCACTCTTCCACGCTGACGAAGCAAACCCAGGGGCGCCGTCAGCGAGACTCCCTCTCTTACTCTGCTCTCCAGAGATGTCAGCACACCTTCCTATGTGTTATTGCATAGATACCACCTTCCTTCCTCCTCAGAGCCTAGTGCATCAGAATCTTGAAAGGCATTGGAAAAAAAAGAGTGCTTAGGAAAGATGCTGCAGTGCGTGTCTCATACCTTCATGTCTGCTCCTGTCATTGCCATTATTTCATAAGTTGTCCCTAGAAACTCAACATTTAGAAACATAATAAGCAGAGTTACAATTAGCTGCTCCTCCCAGGCTTTCTAGAACGAGCAGGATAGCTAAATCTGATAGCAACCTTGTTTCTTTCCTCATATCCTACACCAGATGGCCATTTCTATACCCTCAGCACACC